TTATAAAGCATTTATATAATAAAAATTATAATCTTAATAATGTATTATTCAAATAAATTGCAAATTTATGTCAAAAATTGATAACATCGACACTCTGCAATTACCTCCGGCCCATTTGCTGGCACGAAAATTTGCCCAGGGCTGTCGGTCTTTAAAAGTATCTCGTCGGTGGTTCCATAAAGCCGGTTCTACATTAGTAATTAGTTGCAAGCCGATCGCAAGCTCGTTGCGACAGCCAATCTGAAGCTTGCATTTTGAAATCAATGCTTCGGATTGGCTGTCGCAACAAGCTTGCGATCGGCTTGCAACTATGACGTAGACCGGCTTAAAGCGCATGATTGTACTATTTTATCCTTGTTTAATATTCGGTAAACAACAAGGATAAAATAATACATCACGCACATATTGGAAGGGACGCAAACATTCTGACTTCTGAGAGAGATAGAATAGACAATCGCTATAGTGCGGTACAGTGGTATCAATAAATGGTTGCGTTCCGTAAAGCGCATCATGCGCATGATGTATCATGGTATTCTTGTTGCTCAACAAATGATAAACAAAGATAAAAGGATAAATCATGCGCATGACGCGCTTTGCGGAACGCAGCCAATGAGAGTAGTAAGTCGTAAAGGTGCGTTCTCACTGAGCGCGTCACGCGTCGCGTCATTCGTTGCGTCACGAATTAATCAATCAAAATATCGCATTTTATTGCATCATTTGCCGCACGACTCCTTGCGAGATGCATCGATTAGATTATTCTACGACATTCTAGAGATAAAAGAATCTTCCTTTGTATGAAATCCCAAATCGTGCGGCAAATTACGCAATAAAATGAGGTGTTTTGATTGGTCAATTCAAATGACGCGACGCGTGACGCCACAGTATAACCAGTAGGTCCACTTCGTGTCGGCACCTTTGATCTCCTTTTCCGGATCACGTGAGCATCCGTCATGTTAAATCCAGGACCGAATTGAGAAAAGTGCCTCACAAGTGATAAAACAGATAAGTAATATGGATTCGATACAGTAAATCAATAAATTCAATGTGTAATAATCAATAAATTCAATCGAATAAAACGTTTTATTAGTAACAATTATTCGTAGGAGTGATCACTAAAGAAAATTTCTGATGTAATTGCTTATAAATTATCTGCACATATGTATTGT